CCCAGGTCCCCCCAGCTTCTCCCCAGCCCCCCACAGCCCCATGTGTCTCCAGGCCCACCTCACAGCCCCTCCCCAGCCTCCTGCAGCTAGCGCCAGCCCACTCACAGAGGCCGGTGCCCATGCGCCGGGAGATCTCCAGCAGGATGCGGGAGTAGCAGGAGACCATGATGAGCAGCGGCAGGAGGAAGAGGCAGGCGAAGCCCAGCATGTTGTAGGCCGTCTCGTGCCAGCGCCGGGGGAAGCTGCCCCACGTGGTGCACTGGGTGAAGGTCTGCGGGGAGCGGATGGTGACTGTGTGGAACAGGAACAGCTGGAAGCAAAGCAGAGCGAGAGAGAGGGGAGCTGGACCCCGGCGTGGGCCCGCGCCCGACCCAGCCGGGCCACGAGCGAGACAGGGAGAGGGCTCTGCCAGTCCCCCAACCCCTCCAGCACCCGGGGGAGGGCCAGCGCTTGGAACCACAGACGTTTCTGGGCCAAGCTAGCCTGCTGGGGACCTGGGCATCGGGGGACAAGAGGCTGTTCCAGCCCCCCCACGCCCTGTGGGGTGAGCTGAGCCGCAGGGAGATGGGGGCGTCCGCCCTGCCCACCTGAGCTGCCGGGAATGGCTTTTCCATGAGGGAGCCCCCCAGAGAGCCCCCCGCACACCACCTCTCCCCCCCACGCCCCACCCCCCCAGCTCACACTGCTGCTGCCTGACTCACAGCCCCAGCAGGCTCCCGGGAGCCCCCTTCAGCCAGCAGTGTGAGGAGCCCCCTCCATGTGAGATGAGTTGGGGGGGCTCAGCAGCCCCCATTCTGCACAGAGCTAACAGCACAAGAGCCCCACCCATTGCTACCTGGCCCAGCAGACTCTGCTCCGCTCGGGGGGCTTCGGCAGAACTGGGGCGGGAGCCCAGGGCTGGGACAGCAGGGGCTGTGGGATGGATACCCGTGGGGGGGAGAACGGGGCGGTACCTGCAGTGGGGAGGGGCAGCGGGTATCTGGGGGGTGGGGACCGGCGGGTATCTGGGGCGGGAGGGGCAGCGGGGACCTGGGGGGGGGGGACCAGCGGGTACCTGGGGGGGGAGGGGCAGCGGGTACCTGGGGGGTGGGGACCAGCGGGTACCTGGGGCACGGAGAGCCCAGCACTCAGCAGCCAGGCCGCATACAGCATGAGCCGGTTCCTCCTGTGGGCCTGGGCGATGGCCAGCGGGCGCAGGATGGCAGCCTGGCGGTCCAGGCTGATCACCACGGTGATGAAGGCCGAGGCGTACATGGCCAGCAGCTTGAGGTACATGAGGAGGCGGCAGGCCAGGTCCCCCGCCCGCCACTGCACCGTGATGTTCCAGCCGGCATCCAGCGGCATCACCACGAAGGTGACCAGCAGGTCGGCCGCCGCCAGGTGCAGCAGGAGCACGCGGACGTGCGAGAGCTTCCCGCGCCGCCCGCCCGCGCCCGCCCACAGCACCGCCAGGTTGCCAGCGGCCGAGAGGGTGAGCAGCACGAAGGTGAGGATGACGCGGGCCTTGGCGGCGGGGGAGAAGGTGGGCAGCTGCAGGGCCCCCTCGCTCCCGTTGGGCCAGGGGCCCCACCCACAGCCGCCCTCGGAGGGCAGGAGGCTGCTGCAGGGCACCATGCCCGCTCCCTGGCTGACGTTCATCGCAGGGGCACGTGGGGCCCAGCCGGCTTCCTCCTGCTGCGACAGACAGACAGACAGCGTCAGCACCCACTCCCGAGGCTACTCCCCGCCACACAGAGCCCCCCGCCCATGGGCACAGGGGCCAGGCACATCCTTGGCACTGCCCAGGGCACCTCCGTATGGGGCTGAGCCCCGGGCAGAGACAGCCTGGCAGGGTCTGGGCACGGCAGGGCAGGGCAGGCTTGCGCGGCTGCATGAAGAGGTCCTGCTCGTACTGGTGCAGTCGGCCTGGAGCCGGGGGCAGCTGAGCTCAGCAGGAGGGGGAGCTGCAGGCCCAGGGGCTCCCTTGGAGCGAGAGGGGCAGCTCCCCCATGGGACACCAGCCCCCCAGCCTGGCAGTGGGCCTGGCCCGGCTCGGTGCTGCCACACGCAGTCCCCTGCCCCCACCGGCTATTTGTGTCTCTGCTTCTCTTCTAGGAGCGGCCTCCTGGATGATCTGTGAGTGGCTGGCGCTGGGGGCCAGCCGGGGACACATCCTGGCAGCCTCCAGAGCGCCCCGGCTGGGGAGCAGGAGCCTGGAGGGGGCTGGGAGCTCAGAGGGGGGGGGACACGCTGCCAGCCAAGCCCCCGGCTGTGGAGCTCTCCCTGAAGATCCACCAGGCCCCCGGGAGGGCCAGGAACAGCTTCTCCTCCCTTCCCACTATCACCGACTTCCCTGGTCCTGCCTTTATGTGCAGCCCAGACGCCACGGTGATGGGCTCCAGCTAACGATCAGAGGGGGGAGCGTGGAGCTGGCACCAGCGAGGGGAGGGCCGGGAGCTGTCCCACCTTCCAGAACACAGCCCACCTCAGAGCTGCTCCCACAGCCACCTTGGCCCCAGCAGCTCCCTTAAACAGGGAACCCCCCCATCCGGTCTCTGCTCCAGGGCAGCTCTCAGTAGGGGGCCCAGGCTGGCCCCCGAGGGGGGGGTGGAGGATAGTGGAGTCACCAGCAATCAGCCTTTGCTGAGCTAGGCAGGTGCTGCTCCTGCTCCTAGCCCCCGTGCCCCAGGCTGGCAACGGGCATGGCGTGGTCCCAGGTGTCTGTGAGCCATATGCCAGGTCAGCGTCCGTGCCCCTTGCCACACTCTCTGGGGCACAGGCACATGTCCTGCCCACAGCAATACCCGGGGAGGGGACATCCTGACGGGAGCCGCGCTGTCGCTACCAGTGGGAGACACTCCCGTGGCCGGTCCCACCCAGACACCCGCTGAGGCAGTGGTGGGGCCATGCAGCCCCCCAAACCCAGCCTGCACCAATCCGCATCTCCCAGGCTTGTCCAGACCCCGTGCAAGGGGACGCCTGCCCAGCCTACCCCTGCCCCATGCATCCCTCCCTGCTGGGACAGCAACAGACGTAGCTCTCCAAGCCCCAGAGGACAAGGAGCAGGGCCCCAAGCCACCCGCCCGCCCTCCTCACCTCCAGCCACAAACTCCCACTCGGTGGGTGCCTGCACTGCTCTGCGTGGGCCGGAGCTGGTGCTGCTGGTTCCCGCTCGGTGTCCGGAGCCTCCCTCGGTATTAGAGGCAGCGAGCCAGCCGGTGGCCCACCCCCCAGGCAGCCTCTCCTCGCACTCCAGTCCCACCAGTCCCAGGGCTGCTGTCCGTCTGCCACCTGCCCCCACGTGACTCGCTGGGCGCTGACGCAGCTGATCGATGAGATGCCCTTGACGGCTCGTGTTGCTTCTTGATGTAATAAACTCATGTTCAAAAGGCTTTGCTCCACCATGCGGCACCTACACACACTAACCCTGAGTCCCATGCAGTCACACCCACTCACACACGCACTCACACGTGCATTCACGCACTCCCAGTCAGACGTGCACTAACACAGCATCACACGCACAGTCACACACTCACACGTGCACTCATGCAAAGACATGCATTAACCCTGAGTCCCATGCAGTCACACCCGCACACACACACACACACACTCATTCACGTGCACTAACACGGCGTCACAGGCCCAGTCACACACTCACATCCACGCTCTCACACACACACACGCACTCCCACCAAGAACTGCCATGAGTGCGGGGGTCTATCCAGGCAGCCTCCCTTGCCGGACAGTGGGGCAGGCATGGGGCACACAACTCTGCCAAGCAGCCTGTCTCCCGCTGGCTGGCTCCCCATCCCAAAGCACAATAGCCCTACTCCAGGTGGCCTCTCTCTCCAGCCAAAGCCCTGGGGCCCCACGTCTGGGGATGTTTGGGCCCAGGTGCCAGGTACAGACCCTGCCCATGGTGACCAATCGGACAGGACAGCCGGGGGCCCTGGCTGGGGTGCACCAGGCCCTCAGGGCTGTGGGGTGAGCTGTAGGCCTGCAGCCGGGATTCCCCTCTGGCTGGGCTGTCTCCCCACCCGGCAGTACAGGATTGTCTCTGGTGCTGGTGGAACCTGGCATTGGGGTGGAGCAGCCCAGGGGCTCCTGGCGAATTGGCAGGGCCTCTGCGGCCACAGCACAGCCTGGCCTCTTTCAGCAGGAGCCTCTGACCGGACGCCGTGGCTGGTCTGTTGAGCTCTCTGTGGCGCAGGGCTAGACACACAACAGCAATTCTTTGGCATCCGGAGGCTGGCTGGAAGCACCCCCATCGCTGCCAGACTCACAGATCTGCGCCCAGTGCTCCCCTGGCGATAGGGTGACCAGACGTCCCGATTGGATAGGGACAGTCCCGATTTTTGGGTCTTTTGCTTATACAGGCTCCTATCACCCCCCCAGCCCGGGCCGAGATAGATGTGCTAAGGCCAGAGAGGTGGAGTTGTTTAACCCCCAAGAGAGTGGCCCCCCGAGAAGGGCTGTCTCACCCCCCACAGGGCCAAGAGTGGGCACAACCTGTGAGTGCGTGACGGGCCACTGGCCATTGAACCCGGGCCAAGGGGGGACCCGATGGTGCCCAGAGGAGCACAGGCCTGGGGGGCAGCGCCGCCTGTGCTGAGATAGGCCTTGGCACAACAGGGGTGTTTTGCATCTCAAAGGCCATGTCCCCGGCAGAAGGAATTAATGTTATTAGCAAGTCAGTTCACAGCTAAGTGGGGCTCATTAGCTGCCCAGAGCCTGGGGAGGGAGAGGAGATGGAGCCTCCTCTGGTCTATTAGCATCTCCCTGTCAATCCTCATTAGCACCAGCCCTGTAATGGGCTCTCCCAGCCACCCCAGGACAGGCCCGCAGGAGCGGAGCCACCCCACGGCCACCCCCATGCTGGGAGCCAGGGTCAGGAGCCAGCGCAGGCCGGGATCCTAACAGAGCCAAGCCCTGGACCCAACCCCCACAGGCCCCGCTCTGCCCCACACGCCCATTCCTGAGCACAGTGCTCCCCGCCACCCCCGCAATGCCCCACGCCGGAGCCAGGCCCTGGGGAGAGTCTGGGCTCTCAGGAAAGCAGCCCCTGGGCTCTGACCCTGTTACCTGCCGAGAGCCATGGGCTGGGATCCGCCCAGCCCTTTATGCCAGCTGCCCCACTGCCTGCAGGGGGCGGGGCTCCCCAGAGAACAGCTGTGATCACTTTCCCCAATTCCCACCCACCCCACAGGCTGCTGCCTCCTGCACTGGGAGGTTTCACACCCTGCCCCAGCAGCTGAGCCCACCTTCCCTGCCAGGGCATTGGAGAGTGCTCCGAACTGGGACCCCGTTCTGCCCAGGGTCCGGGTGTCATGGGACCCCCATCTATTTATCTGGGGCTGAATCCTGAGCCTCTTCTGTCATGTCCGTCCCGCCCCCGCGAGCTGGGCCTGCGACAGCCCTTTTCCTACAGGGGGTCAGAGCTGTGAGATAAACGGGCACAGAACCGCAGAGTCGCCCTTGATATCATGTGTAACTACCACCCCACCGTCTATCCCAAAGGACTTGCCAGCCCATACACTGGGATCACTCACCCCCTGTGGAAATGCAGCCACCTCTGGGGTGGGATGCGGCAGCAAAATGACACAGCATATTAGAACAGGAAGCTCAGAAGCATCCTGCATTCAATGGACTCTAGTGAGGCCAAGGGAAATGAGCCACACAGGAACAGAGGCAGGACACGGGCTGAGCTCACCCACCCCAGGGGATCTTTAATGAGCCCTGGTAGCCAGGCCATGTGCTGGGGGCACCCAGCCCCAGGGAAGGCAGGACAGCCGCCGCACAGGGGTGCCTCACGCCCCTTGCAGGGCTGGGATTGTGGGGGCCGTGCCGAACAATCCCAGGCCGGTGAATGCAGGAGAGGGCAGAAGAGAGCAGGGGCCCCATCCCCCCCAACCAGGGCAGTGGCCTCCCCGGCTCCTCAAGACAGCTGAGGCAGGGCTCCTCGTGGGCGCCAGCCAAGGGACCTCACATACAGGCAGGTTCGAGTCTCCCAGCATGGTGGGTCCCCAACCCAGTGCGCCCTGCCAGTCCCATGGGGTCACAGGGATGTGAGGGAGGAAGGGAACCGTGGGTCCTCCCCCGCCACCACAGGAGGGGCCCCGCACAATCCCTCCTGCAGGCAAAGGGCTCACGTGGCATCTTCCCCAAGTGAGACCGAGGGAGACAGAGGCAGGGCAAAGGGAGCTCCCAACAAGCCCCCACACCAAAGCGATGTTCCCCACCCAGGGGCTTATCATGGATCCCACCGCTGGGGCGTGAGCTCAGTGGCCAAGCCAGGAATAGAACCCAGGAGTCCGGGCTCCCAGCCCAGTGCCCCAACAGCGGGGCAGCTCCTCCCAAGCGGCAGGTCCAGTCCTGGCTAGGAGGCTGAAGCGGAGACGCCGGTTGATCCATCATGGCTCCCGCTTCCCTCCCCGTGCTCCCCCGGACCCCACGGCAGCAAGAGGCAGGAGGTCACAGACATGGGTTTATTCATTCACAGCATCGCATCCGCTTTCAAAGCTCTTCAGCTATTGTCCCCTGGCCTGGAAATAACTCGATAAATACCCTCCCACCCCTCCATAACTCGATAAATACCCTCCCACCCATGCATGTGCCCCACGCCTGCACGTCCCCAGCGTGCCCCACGCCTGCATGGCCACGCACAGCTGCATTGTCCCCAGAAGGCAGCACATGATCCAGGGCAGAGTCGTCAGCCAGCGACGGCGACAGCGTTCCTCGCATTCCTCTCGTGCGTGGCCCTCTCCAGCCGGGCTGCCTGGGCGCATGAGGACACATTCTGCCACCAGCTGCTTCTCAGGCTTGTCCCCTGGCTGGGCAGTGGCCGATCAGTCCTGGGGAAGCAGGGCCTCCAGAAGGGAGAGGAGCTCGCCGGAGAGATCCTGCAGAGAGGAGCACAGGGATCAGTGGAGCAACACAAGGCCAGACTCCCTGGGCACTGACTCCGGGAGCCGGACGGAGTGGGGGGCCCTCTGAGTGGGACCCACAAACTGCCCCTGGAGGGCACAGACAGGAGCAGGGCCAGCGAGCCCCTGGAGCGAGTGCACTGAGTCATTCGCGCTGCCCTCTCAGCCGATGCTGACTCCAACAAGGGCCAGGGAAGAGGGGTGTCTGTGGTCAGAGCCCCTCCGGGCTCTGCTGTGCTGATCGGCCGAGTAGCCCTGAGCACGTCATTCCCAGCTCTCCATGCCTCAGCATCCTCCCCGGAAAAACCCTTCCCCCCCCCCCCCCCCCCCCCCCCGCCCCCGGCAGTGCATGCTGCCCACGGGCCATTACAAGCGGCCAGGAATTTGGGGGGTACTGAATTCACACCACGGGGGGTTACTCTGGCAGGTAACTCAGGACACAGCCTAGGCTGAGGAGGGGGCAGAGAGCGAACGTACCTGGGAGGACAGACCCATGTCTGCAAACTCAGCTGGCAGCAGCATCGGCCCCGCATCCAGGATTCGTGCCCCGTGCGGCTCGGGGGGTGTCCCTGTGGCAGGGCAGTAAGGGGGCGAAAGCCAAGAGGCTGTGTCTGTGCTGAGTGCCCTGTGCGGCTCGGGGGGTGTCCCTGCGGCAGGGCAGCAGGTGGACGACACCCAGGACTCTGCGGCCGGAGGGGACCCCTCCCACGGGGCTGGAGATGCTGCCCGGAGGCCAGGGGTCCTGGCCTGGCAGCAACCCAGCCCCTCGGGGCAGAGGGGGCAGTGCCGGCGTGGGCCCCCTCTCCTCTGGGCCAGCGTCTCCTCGCTGAGCCCCAGCAGCTCCGACAGGTGGGAGATGTAGCGGATGGCGAGGCGCAGGGTCTCGATCTTGGTCAGGCTCTGGCCGGCCGGTGCCACCGAGGGGGGCAGGTAGCGTCGCAGGGTGTGGAGAGCCTTGGACAGGTTCCTCATGCGCAGCTTCTCCCGCTCGCTGGCGCTCTGCCTCTGCCCGCCGCCTGCCCTGC